TTACGACTTCTTCCATTATTTTATTCTTAAGCAAGGATCTTCCAACTTTACTGCTATAAGGCTTGTGGACTTCGACTCCCAGAATTCCCGAGCTAACGTGACCAGAAGAGGAATTCTGGGAGCTGAAGTCCCCAGGTTTTAAAGTGGCCAAGTGTGGATACTCCTGATTTACTTACAACTTCTTCCGTTATTTTATTCTTAAGCAAGGATCTTCCAACTTTACCACTATAAGGCTTGTGGACTTCAACTCCCAGAATTCCCGAGCTAACGTGACCGGAGGAGGAATTCTGGGAGCTGAAGTCCCCAGGTTTTAAAGTGGCCAAGTGTGGATACTCCTGATTTACTTACAACTTCTTCCATTATTTTATTCTTAAGCAAGGATCTTCCAACTTTACCGCTATAAGGCTTGTGGACTTCGACTCCCAGAATTCCCGAGCTAACGTGACCAGAAGAGGAATTCTGGGAGCTGAAGTCCCCAGGTTTTAAAGTGGCCAAGTGTGGATACTCCTGATTTACTTACAACTTCTTCCGTTATTTTATTCTTAAGCAAGGATCTTCCAACTCGACCACTTTAAGACCTGTGGACTTCGACTCCCAGAATTCCCGAGCTAACGTGACCGGAAGAGGAATTCTGGGAGTTGAAGTCCCCAGGTCTTAAAACGGTCAAGTTGAAAGACCCCTGCAGTTAAAGACTCACAGAGATCCGGCGGGGTCTCGCATGACCTGGTCACTGGGGTGGGGGTGGGGGCTGCTTCCCGTGAGCCCCTTGGCGCGAACTGCACGACGCTCCGCACGCTGCCTCGGGGGTCCAGACTGCCGGGGTGGGTGGGGGTGGGGGTCTCCTCCCGCCTCCTTCTCCTCCCCCTCTTTATTCCCCTCTCCTCCCCTCCAGAGCAGCCCGCCCACCTCTTCTCCCAGGTGTTCTTTTGCCAAGAGGACGCCCCGCTTTACGGCCTGGCTCAGACGCTGGACAACGACCTGCTCTTCTGGTACGACTTCCCGGGCGCCCGCTGGCGCTCCCGCCGGCCCGACTTCCCGCCGGAGACGCAGCTCTCCGAAGCGCAGATCGAGGCCCAGAAGAAAATCTGCGACGCGGTGCTGCCCGTCCTCACCGACTTTTCAGACACGTACATTGAAGCCCAGTTCCCCGAGGCCAGAGGTGAGGCGCTGGGGGGGGGGGCAGGGGTGGGTGGGAGAAGGGGTTGGACTAGATGACCTAACAAGGCCCCTTCCAACTCTGTTAATCTGTTAAAATGTGTTAGATCTTCTTCTCGGCCCAGTCCATCGCCCAGCCAGCTGTCCAAAAAAGTTCCAGGGGTGAATTAGTAGCCAACCTTGACCACTTTTTTTTTTTTTTGTAAATTTTATTTGAGTTTTCACACAAAAAAAACACAAATGAAACATCTTTTTTGAAAGTAGCGTAATCCCGGGTTACGTTTCTTCGTAGAGACACAAATTCAATTTCATGCTCATTTTTATGTTCTATTCCATATCTTATTCCTGTTTTACATTTTCTGCATAGCTTCTCCCTTCTTTTAATTTTCTCGATTTTATTTTAATTATCTCATCTCGATTCAAATCATTATATTTATATTTTTTGGGTCTGCCCTGTTTCAATTATCTATTATCTTTTCTCGTTAAACGAAGTTTCTCCTGTAGTTAACTGATTGGAGTATGAAGCCTTTATATCTTTTAAGTTTGTCCATTTAACTCTTATTTAGGCTTCAATATATACCCTAAAGTTATAACATTCAATATAATACATAACTTCCATTTGGATTCTGCTTGGTACATTCTTAAAATACACACTATATTCTTAAAAAAAAGAAAAAAAATTATAAATCTATGTAATTAAAACAACCCATTCCATTCCAAGTCAATTCTATCATTAATATTAATATTCATTAAAATCTTAACTTCTTTAACATTACTTTTCAATTAAATATCCTACTTCTATGGGAAGAATTATAAGCTTTCCATAATTAACCTTGGCCGCTTTTTAAGACTGGTGGACTTCAACTCCCAGAATTCCTCCTCCAGTCATGTTAGCTCGGGAATTCTGGGAGTTGAAGTCCACCAGTCTTAAAAAGTGGCTTTGAAGAGGTTTACGGCTTCTTCCATTATTGTGTTCCTTTTGTTCGTCCACAACTCGGCACCGCCAAAGATCATTTTACAGTCAACTGGGCAGCCTGCAAGGTGTCGTTCATCGTCCCGGCCAATTACGATGCAATCAACGGCCATTAAAAGGAAACTGATGGCGGTCAAATCTCTCTGGGGAGGAAAGCCCACTGACTGAGACCCTTTGACCCCCTTGAGTGGGGCAAGACTTGGGGGAGAGGACCTGCTAGATATCCTGAGGCCCCTGGGTACAAGTGGGAGGAAGTGTGAATAGAACAAGAGTTATTTTGTCCAGTGCCCCCCCCCCCCAAAATATATATATTGGATGAGGATAAGCGGGTGGATTGCGGAAATAACTAAACAACAAATAGAGTTAACACTGGAGATATTCTTATTAGGCATAATGACAGGAAAATAGGACAAAAACACAATATCTAATGCTAAATTTAATAACAGCAGCTAGAATGGTCTATGTACAAACCTGGAAAAATACTATAATACTAAAAATATTACTAATACTAAATACTAAAAATACTACTAATACTGGTACTATACTGAGTCTGAGGAACGCGTGATAAAGAAGGTATGACAGTGTGCCGAGATGGATAGGTGGACAATGGAAATAAAAGATAAACTGAATATCAATTGATTGGGAACGCATGATACAATTGGATAAATAGTAGATATAAAGATATAGTCTACTGTTCTGCATATTAATATTAATATTAATATTAATTGGCTGGCATGAAGGAGACAGATCAACTCCACAAAGCGTCCACCCAAAGTCTGTTTTTTATTGGTTCATCAGGTATCCTGTCAAGTCACATTTATGACAAAGTTCTTCTTAACGTCCAATCCTTGTAGTGCAGAAAGATTAAAAAAAGGTCTCAACCTCACGATGATTGAAGCGACTGCATGGTATCGTGGCTTCAGGCAAGAGTGAGGGAGTCTCCCCCAACCCAATAGGGGTCAATTTAGTGACCAATCAGGATTACAGATGTGACCACGTGACGTGGACTACATTTCCCAGGATACCTTAACTAAGCAGCGTCGTAGGGAGAAACGTGAGTTGCAGCGTAGGAGGCGTGGGAGGGTCAGAGAATGAGCTGAGTGTTTGAGCCACACCCCACAGCGGATAAAAGTGGGTGTGTTGTCGGCTGGAACTTTGTAGGGGGCAAAGTTTAATCTTACTTCAGGTTTTCTTTGGGAGTGATTTTATGGTCTGCCTTGTGGTTTTCTGGGAGTAGCTTTTTACTTGTTATCAGTTCGGACTTGGCAGGCAGAGCGTGTTGGCATGCCAAGGACGTTATCAGTTCCAAAGAATTAACTCTGTGAAGTCCGAGGCAGCTTGTCTGCTTGTGTGTTTGTGTGAGTTTGTACTCTTTCGTCTTTTGAAGAAAGAAGAAAGGTGAGACAGAACGTATATGTATGTATGATTGTATAATAAAAATGTACGTAAAACATATGTATACTGATACCGAACAGTTGCAAAGAATGAAAATGGTGTTATGAAATGAGGAGAATTCTTTAATAAAAATAATTTTTTTTTTTAAAAGAACAACAGAGTTGGAAGGGACCTTAAAGAGATCTTCTAGTCCACCCCTCCCTGCTCAAGCAGGCAAAGTGTTGTGCTTTCAAAGCCCGGGCGGGGCGGGTGGCGGGGTCTCTCCCGCTCTTCCTGACCCGGGTTTGAGCTGAGCCCGGAGTCCCGGGAACTGACTCGTCCGTCTCCCCGCCGCAGGGATCCCCCAAGTGGAAGTCTTCACCCTCCGTCCGCTGGTCCTGGGCCAGCCCAATGTCCTGGTCTGCTCGGCGAGGAACATCTTCCCTCCCGTGGCCAGGATCGAGTGGGCCTACCACGGCCAGCCCCTCACCCGGGGTGTCTCCTCCACCCCAGTCTTCCCCGTCGAAGAGCTGGATTTCCAGGTCTTCTCCTACGTGGAGGTGACCCCCCAGGCAGGAGACATCTACAGCTGCACCGTCAAGGGCAAGACCGACAGCCTAGCCTACTGGGGTGAGACACACCACACACACACACACACCCCATACACACCTGCCTCCCCTCCTGGGCGCCCACGAGAGACCCTCCTCCCCCCCCTGACCCCTCCCTTCTTCTTCTCCTACAGTCCCCAGGGACCCCGTGGCCTCTAAGCTCCTGGAGAACATCCTCTGCGGCCTTGCGGTGGCGGTGGGAGGGGTCTTCACCATCGTGGGCGTCGTCCTGCTGGTCCTCTCCTGCAGGGCCCGGAGCGCAGGTAGGCGGAGGGGGCGGGGAGAGCAACATTGGCGGGGCGGCGGGACCTCGGCCTGCCTTCCCTTCCGCTGCAGCCTCCCCTGCGGCTTGGCTCGCTGGCAGAGCTTCTCCATGCTGAGGGGCAGGTTTGTGGGGGGGGGAACAGAGTCCTTCTGCTTGGGGGAGCGGGGGTGGGGCAGGGCAGGAAGGACCCCCGCTTTTGGCAGTTGAATTTGCTCTTCTTTCTCTTCCTTCGTAGACTGAAGCAAGGATACCCTCCTTCCCCTCCCCGCATCCATGGATCGGCATGACACAGACGCTGGGAAGACGACCCCCCTCGCCACTCCCCAGATGTTAGAGTTTTCCCCCCCTCCCCTCAAAAGCCACTTTTTGGGGGGCCGGGGGAGGTGCTTCCTTCTCTGTCCCTCAACCCCAACCAGCAGCAGGACCAAATCTCTCCCTGGGAGGGGGCTCTGGAGGTCCGGAGAGGGGTCCCACCCGGATCACCCCAAAGGACAGAGGCAGAACGGCAGGTTGAACCTCCGTTTTTGCCACGACGCTTCCACCCCCCCTTCCCACCTTCCCTTCCCTGCCTTTTGGGCCTCATTGACCCCAGGGTGGGAGCTTCCCCTCTTAAATTGATTCCCCACCCCCCCAGGGAACTACAACCCCCCCCAAGAGGCGTTTTTTAAATTGGCTTGTTTGAACCTGCAGCAAAAAAAAACCGCGCAAAAAGCTTCCAATCAAAGCTGGGTGAATGAAAACGGGCCCCAGGTGTGCTTTGGGGTGTGTGGAGGGGCTGAAATGGCTTCCGACACCCCGACCCCCGCTTCGTTGGGAGGAAATCCCATCGAAGTCAACCTGCTGCCTCCTCCCCATCTTGGAATAACCCATAAACTGGTAGTTGCGCAATAACTTTGTCCTCCTCCCCGGGACGGCCAGGAAGAAGTGAAACCGCGAGTGGGCCGAGCGGTGTGGGAGGGAAGAGAAGAAAAATAATAATCATCCTTGCCGAGAACGGTCAGAATAGAAAATCCTTGGGGTAAAACCTGCAATTCTGCCTCTACGACGGAAACCCACCGGAAGGAAACAAGGACGAGGCTGCAAAAACACTGGCTTAAACGCCGAGAGCTCTTTTCAGTTGGCTCAGCTATTAAAAAATTGCTTTTAAACGTTTTCTTCAAACCAAATATTGAACGCGGCGAAGTCAGTTGGACGTGATTGGGGGGGGTCGATATCGCACGTATGTACGTTATCCTTTTTTAAAAAAAATTCTTTAAGTACAAAAAGTTCAAATACACAAGACCGAAAGACCAAAAAAGTCACGCGAGCGAACATCACCACAGTTTCTATGATAAAACGAATTCAGTTTTCCTGCAATATATTTGATAGGGAATGAAATAGTTCACGATTCGTGTGCGGCCATTATTTCCTATATCCTATCGGTCGGTGGTTCCCAAACTTTTCGCCCCGCGCCCCGAAAGAAATTTCACTCGAACCTCGCACCCCCTGAAATAAATAATAAATAAAAATGCCAACATATCGCCAATATCCTATTAT